GGACCGTCTCGTGCGCTAGAGAGCGACACGAGCAGGGGGCGGACAGGTGACGTGACGCGGACGCAGACGCAGCGACCTGAGGGGGGGCAGTAGTCAGTGTGTACAGATCCAACCCCGGCTGCCGGGTGAAGGTAGCCAAGTGGCGGCCTGTACGGGCACACGTGCAGTGTGTGACACGCTCGTAGGCAGGGGTGAACTGGTGAACACCCGCGTCCTGTAGTGCACAACCTGCCACCAAGTTTGTAGAGAACGAGGGGAGGTGGAGACCTGACAGTGTGCCCAACGGGACCACAGGACAGGGAAGGACAGTGGAGGAGGTCGCAAGGACCGGACCCCCAGAGGGGTCAGCGAGGGAGACAGCAACTGGCCGAGCAAGGGGCTCAAGGGCAGTGCGGTCACAAAAGAAACAGCGAGAGGCACGTGAATCCAGTGTGAAGGTGTGCAGTGCTACAGTCGACACAGTACTAGGGGGGGCAGACGTACACGCACCTAGAGCAGCAGCCTCACCAGCACCTGGGGTAGCGGACACGCGAGTACCTGGAGCGGGAGACGCACTAGTCCTAATGCCCGGGTCGGGCGGGACACTCAGGTACTCAGCACCCTCTCCACTAGTAGACATCACATACATGGCAGTGAGAATAGCATCAAAATCTAGAGCATAAATATCAATCCCCTTCTTCAGGAGATCAACCCAGCGGGGCAGCTCAGTGGCCTGAGGGAACTGAACACGCCAAGCGTCGTTCAGACGAGCGAAGCAACGCTGTGTGGCGTGCGGTCCCCCACACGGCTGGCCAGTGCGGTCACCAGTGCGAATGACGTACGTGCAACTAAGGCCACCCCCCCCCCCTTGTGCTGAGAGTACCACTCACGGACCTCCTGGGGCGACGGAGTGTGCTGCTGGCCCTGGCCACCGCCAGTGCCTCCACGACCACCACCGCCGCTACCACCTCCTCGACCACCCCAACCCCGGCCGCTGCCTCGTCCACCGCCACCCCCACCACCTCCTCCGCCCCGGCCACCTCCCCCGCCGCTGCCGCCACCCCCCCCACTGCTGCCACCTCCCCCACCCGCGCCACCCCCCCCGCCACCACCACCTCCCCCACCACCGCCACCCCCGCTTTCACCACCACCGCCCTTGCCCCCCTTGCCCTTGCCGCTGCGGCGCCCACTCGAAGCAGACGCAGTCCCGACCTTCTCAGCACCAAGGAGGTCGACAGCAGCAGTAGAGGCGACAGAGGGAAGAAGGGGGGAGGGAGAACACCCCTCAAAGAACGGGGTACGGGGGTCACCGCGAGAGGCACCTACAGCGACTATGCTAGCCTCAGCTGCAAGCAGTTCCTTCTCGAGGAGGGCAATGGTGAGCTCGGTGGGGCAGCGAGCTAGGAAGTGGTCCCTGACTGAGCGAAGAGTGTCAGGGAGGCGCGTGACTAGGTGGGAGAGAGTGAGCCAGAGCGGGGGTGGGTTCTTTGCAAGGAACTCATCAGGCATAGCGGCGCGGAAGCGAGCCTCACTAGTGCGGAGGTGGGTAATGAGATCATCGACAGTGTGGAAGGAAGCTAGGTCGGGGAATAGGTAGGGAAGAGAGAGACGGCCTAGAGCGGCAGAGGCCGGCGAGGAGTAGCGGGCAACGACAGCAGTGTACAGTGCCTGTGCAGTCTTGTGCTGCCCAAAGTGCTCGCGCTCATCTATCGGCAGAGAGTTGCGAATAGCGAAGCGAGTATGGGCGTCACGAGTCTGCCACTGTGAGCGGGCAGTGCTGTCAGCAGTAGCAGCAGGAGCAGTAGCGTGGCCTAAGGCATGATCGTACAGCGAGATGTCTTCCTTGGCAGTGAGCTGTAGGAAGAGGTGTAGGTCATCAAGCCAGGTGTCGAACTTCACTGGGCGGCCCTCAGTATCGAAGGCTAGGACAGGAGGGCTAGCCATGGTAGCAGCAGTAGGAAAAGCAGTAGGAGCAGTAGGGTAGGTAGGGCGGCGCGGCTCGGTACAGGTAGGGCGGCGCGGCTCGGTATAGGTAGGGCGGCGCGGCTCGGGTCGGGCGGCGCGGCTCGGTTCAGGCGGCTCGGGTCGGGCGGCGCGGCTCGGTTCGGGCGGCTCGGTTCGGGCGGCTCGGGTCGGTTAGGGCTCGCGGCTCGGGTCGGGCGGCTCGGTTCCGTTAGGGCTGGGCGGCTCGGGTCGGCTCGGTTCGGGCTGTTCGGTCTAGGTGGGGCCATTCGGGGCCGCTAAGGGCGAGCGCGGGGAGCGGGTGGGGCCGTGAGGGACGAACGCGGGGCCGACGTGGGTGCTAAGGGCGAGCGCGGGGCCGACGTGGGTGCTAAGGGCGAGCGCGGGGCCTATCAGGGCCATGAGGGACGAGCGCGGGGCCGATCGGGGCCGTAAGGGACGAGCGCGGGGCCGACGTGGGCCTCTAAGGGCGAGCGCGGGGCTTATCAGGGCCGTGAGGGACGGGCGCGGGGCCGATCGGGGCCGGTAAGGACGAGCGCGGGGCCGACGCGGGCCTCTAAGGGTAAGCGCGGGGCCAATTCGGGGCCTCTAAAAGCGAGCGCGGGGCCGACCGAGGCCTCTAGGTGCGAGAGCGCGGGGCCGACGGGGCCTCTAGGGGCGTGAAAGCCGAGGCGCCCTAGGGCGCAGGTAGGTAGGTAGGTAGTGGTGGGCCCTAAAAAAAAATCGGTCCTGGGAAGGACCTGCTCTATACCATGTTGAACAAGAATGAATGAACTAAGAGTGAAATGAGTACAAGTATCAAAACCTAGGAATGTGTACCCCCTATAGGCTAACCCACTGTAGCCTAAACAACTACAACAACATATATAATCTTTGACATAGTTATTATAAACTTCTTTGCATGTTCTGTTTGCTATTTGTACCTCGCTCAATGGTGAATTCATCCTCTTTGGCTAAACTCTCTCGATATGTTCCTCTCCCAAGCCTCTTCGTACCCCAAACCCTAGTGTTCACTTAACCTACTATCTTGACATGCGGAACCTCGAGGCCGCATGGTGCGGCTGATGAGAAAATTGACAGTCTGCCTGAGAAATATGGTTTGAGGAAGGTTCCTCTCCTGGAAAATGCCAGCATTAAAAGGGGTGTTTGGCTGGTTTTCCATGATTGTCTGGTTCGGCAATGATCCGTTTATATCGAGCCTAAATAACCTTTCACGAGCTTACCTCAAAGAAGGTTCCAGGCAGGCCCCTAGATTCGTTTTGAGGTAGTCTGACGCCTCAGAGTACACCCCTCTTCCTAGTTTGGCTGTCAGAGTTACCTTTTTTTTTTTAGTCTAAAAATTCAGACAAGCATAATTTTTTTTGTCTGAACTATCAAAGTTACTTCAATTTCTAAGATGTTCTTGCAGTTTCATAACAACATAGTCATAATAGCATTGAAGTTGATTACAGCATGCCAACACATCGGGCAGCGTGCTCGTGCATCACCACTGCTCAGGTCGGCGGCGTTCTGGTGTTTTTGTCACGTGCAGCGCATGGTTGTTTCTACTTATCTCATTTCGTTTTGTCGTGTGTGTGATTACCGTTCTGTACCCATTTTCTCGCCTATGTGCCAATTTTGTCAATTTTGGATTTGCGTTTCTAGCGATGTGATCGTTCACCCGAGCTGTATCAGATGGGCCAAATGCCACGCAGCTGAGCTGTCAGCAGGCAGAAACTGTTGTTTGGCGTGGCGTGTGAGCATCTGGTAGTGCCACATGAAACTTTCACTACGAATCAGGACCTTCGCAATTTCACAGGAGTGCGTGTTGCAGATGGTTTTACAGCGAATCAGCATCAAAGTCTCCTATTCTTTACAATACTTTAGCAATAACTTACATGTGACGAGATTTTGTCTTAATAGTCCCGTAATCACGCAACCATTTCCTCGGCGTAAGTGGAAGATATTCTAGACGAACGAGTGTATTCGGATGTCCCTGCTGTTGAAGTGTGCGTTGCTCACGTCCTGGCACTCCACTGCCATCTCGGAAGTGGGCATATTGAAAAGAAACTTCCAGGAAACGTCTCTTTGAAAAGCGCGCAGAGTGTACCCGCAGAGGCACAGCTTACACTTAAAGCCCGGGGTTAGCATGGTAAATTTTCAAGTTATGTAGATTTGAAGTAGGCAGTGGGTGAGGGTGTGCGAAACCTATTTCGGTTGTGTGGCTCTGGCGAGGATTCTGTTCCTCCGCGCACGTTTGCATTTCGCTCACACCAAACCAGCGATACCCACTGACCCTGTGCGAAAATTGAGTCGCATGAATAGATACTTCATCCAATCAGAAGCTTTCACACTCTTACGAAGGGCACAGAAAGTGTGGCCGAAGTCTCCACCTCACCACTGACTCAACTCGCCTCTACTAACGGAGAGTAATAAAACATCGCCGCACGAGCTACCAACAACACCCACTCAGACTCAGATCGGTAAATCGATGCGACAAAGGAAACGTGTTCGACACGAGGCTCACCTCAGAATACTGGCGACGCTATTATCTCAGGAGCTGTCAACAACACAGCGGAGGGGTGTGTAGGAACGTGCAAGCCAAAGGGGACATATGGGAAACGCGCTTGTTGAGGAAGCATTGGAGAGTTGAGGAAATGAGCGCCGCGCTCGCGTGCCTACTAGCGACACGGCGGTGCGGTTGCAGCTCCGCGCGATCGGCGAGCCAATCACGCTCTTAGGCGAGCGCGAAATGGAGCGGCGCGACCGACTTAGGTCGTTCATGGCTAAGCTAGACGCCGAGGGGCGGCTCGACGAGCTTTACGAGGCGATCGAGCGCCAAATGCGGACAAAGCAGGAAAGGCGGCGCGGAGGTTCTCGAAATGGAGGATGTGCCTCAAGCGGAGTTGTTTTATACCAAGGGGAGCAAGGAGCTGCTGCTGGCGCTGCAGGAGATTGCGGTGTTTTCGCTGCCCCGGGCAGGGTTAAGAGATTCGGCGTGCGAAGCGGTGGCGCGAGGATCCCGTTGAGGACGAGGAGGCGGAGGCGAAGGAGTTGATGGCGCGGTACAAGGGATGAGCATGCAGGTCGGTTGAGAGCTGTACCAAGTGGTGCAGGGAATAATAATTCAGGTGAAGGATCCCAATGAGGACGAAGAGCGGAGGCGAAGGAGTTGATTGGCATGGTGCAGGGGATGAGCATGTAGGTGGGTTGAGAGCGGTACTGGGTGGTATCAGAGATAAGCGACGCGCGCCCCATCCCGCCTGTTCCCTCTCCCCCGACGCCTCTCTTGTTTCCACGTCAGGGTGGAGCGGCGCCTGCCGCCTCTGCTTGCTGCCAGCTGTGCTCGCTGCCAGCTTCTTACCCTCATACTCGCTGTCCCACCCACCACACACTCGCTGGCATCAGAGATAGGCGACGAGCGCCCCATCTCCACCTGCGCCCTCTCCCCCGACGCCTCTCTCCTCGCCACCTCCGGGTGGAGCGGCACGTGCCGCCTCTGGTCGCACTCAAACCTCCTCCCCACCCCAACCCACCCCACCCCACCCCACCCCACCCCCCGCAACACCCACGCCACCCCCCCGCCCACAGGTATCAGAGATAGGCGATGAGCGCCCCATTTCTTCCTGTGCTCTCTCCCCCGACGCATCTCTTATCGCCACCTCGGGGTGGAGCGGCGCTTGTAGCCTCTGGTCGCAGCCAGCTGTGCAGGCGGCGGGCGCACTGCGCGGCCACTCAGAGCGCGCCACATGTCTGGCCTGGCACCCCCACGCGCTCTCCTCTCTCCCCGCCTCCGGCCCCAACCTTGCCACGGCTGGTGCTGACAGGTACGACAGGTGCAGGAATGGGGGGCAGGTCTAGGACTAGGAGTGGGATAGGGGCAGGCTCACTGCTGCCTATCCACTCGCACCCCTACACGCGCTCCCCACTCCCTCCCTCCCTCCCTGTTTGGTTCTATCCCTCATTCCCTGTTCTCCCCGGCCTTCCTGTCTTCCCTTGTCCCCCCTTCCCCCCGTCTATCCCTCATGCTGTGTTCCCCCTGCCCTCCCTTCTCCTCCCTTTTCAGCTCCTGTATGCGAATTCTCCCCCAACATATACCACACTAGCCACAGGAGTGGAGGACCACTCATGCCGCATGTGAGATCTGAGGTGATGCAGGGAAGCACGCATTGACCCTTATTCACTCCCTGTGCTCCCTGTCCCACCCTCCCTTGCAGCTGCTAGCGTGCGACTTTTCCCCCAACGGGTACCATCTAGCAACAGGGGGGGAGGACCACACATGCCACGTGTGAGATTTAAGGCGATGCAGGAAAACAGGCTGCACCCCCGAATCCCTCACCCCCTCTCATGTGCTCCTGATCATCGTCCAATCTCCTCACTTGCACCCTTCTTCTCTTCCGCACTTCCCCCTTTCCTTTGTCTCGCCTTTCCTCCCTTGCTTCCCCTCATATACTTTACCCCCTTTCTTCCCCTCGTTTTCCCCCCTGCTTCCCCTCATTTCCTCCTGTGCTTCCCCTCATTTCCCCCACTGCTGCCACTCATTTCTCTCCCTGCTTCACCTCATTTTCCTCCCCACTGTCCCTGTTTGTGCCCTCCTGCTTCCCCTCATTCCCCCCCCCACCTCCCCTCATTTCCCCCGCTGCTGCCCCTCATTTCCCTCCCTGCTTCTCATCATTTTTCCCTGCTTCTCATCATTTTTCCCTGCTTCTCCTCCCTTCCCTCCCTGCTTCTCATCATTTCCCTCCCTGCTCTCCCATATGTCCCATATCTCCCCTGTTTGACCTTTTTCTTTTCCCCCTCCCAATCCCTCTTATTGTCTCCCTCTTCCTCGCTATTGCAGTGACTACACTGAAGATTTTTCTGATACTGCAACTCGCATCAGCCCATCATCCCATGCCATGCTCGTAGAGCAACCAGTTCCCCTCGTGTTTTTTCGAGGCCTTGAGAAGGGTACAACATTTAGAAGTATTAGGAACATGCCTCTATGTACCCTTCTGACACTCTTAGTGTCCATGCATCTTGTAAGAATATGTTGCACTGCAGACACAAAAGTACATATTCTGCCTTTGAGATGGATATCTCCAACAGTAATGGCTGCTCTATTGTTGCATACAACACACAAGAATCAGGCGGTGCTACAGTGTAAAGCATCGACTAGCTGTGCCTCAGCTTGCTCCTCTGCTGAGTAGGGGAGTGGAGTAGGCAGAAAGAATTGTGTGAAGAAACATGGGGGAGGTGGTGTGAGGTGCAAGGGAACAACGGCAAGGGGATACAAGCAAGTACACATGATGAAAGCATGTATGGGGAGACAGCGATGGATGCACATGCATGGGAACGAGAGTGCGGAAGGGGGGAGGGCATGAAAATGAAGGGAAGGGTTGAGAAGGGATGGGGAAGGGAAGGGCAGGGCAGGGAGGGAAAGGCAGGGATGGGGAGGGCAGGTGGGAACAGGGCAGAGGGGGGAGGGAATCAGGGAAGGGGATGGGGGGAAGCAGGGAAGGGGATGGAAGGAAGCAGGGAAGGGGATGGGGGGAAGCAGGTAGAGGGTGTGGGGGGAAGCAGGGAAGGGGGTGGGGGAAGCAGGGCTGAGGGAGGGGGGAAGCAGGGCGGAGGGTGGGGGGAAGCAGGGCGGAGGGAGGGGGGAAGCAGGGCGGAGGGTGGGGGGAAGCAGGGCGGAGGGAGGGGGGAAGCAGGGCGGAGGGTAGGGGGAAGCAGGGCGGAGGGAGGGGGGGAGCAGGGCAGAGGGAGGGGGAAAACAGGGCGGAGGGAGGGGGGAAGCAGGTCGGAGGGAGGGGGGAAGCAGGGCGGAGGGTGGGGGGAAGCAGGGCGGAGGGAGGGGGGAAGCAGGGCGGAGGGTGGGGGGAAGCAGGGCGGAGGGAGGGGGGAAGCAGGGCGGAGGGAGGGGGGAAGCAGGGCGGAGGGAGGGGGGAAGCAGGTCGGAGGGAGGGGGGAAGCAGGGCGGAGGGTGGGGGGAAGCAGGGCGGAGGGAGGGGGGAAGCAGGGCGGAGGGTGGGTGGAAGCAGGGCGGAGGGAGGGGGGAAGCAGGGCGGAGGGTGGGGGGAAGCAGGGCGGAGGGAGGGGGGAAGCAGGGCGGAGGGTGGGGGGAAGCAGGGCGGAGGGGGGGGGGAAGCAAGGCGGAGGGTGGGGGGAAGCAGGGCGGAGGGAGGGGGGAAGCAGGGCGGAGGGAGGGGGGAAACAGGGCGGAGGGAGGGGGGAAGCAGGTCGGAGGGAGGGGGGAAGCAGGGCGGAGGGTGGGGGGAAGCAGGGCGGAGGGAGGGGGGAAGCAGGGCGGAGGGTGGGGGGAAGCAGGGCGGAGGGAGGGGGGAAGCAGGGCGGAGGGAGGGGGGAAACAGGGCGGAGGGAGGGGGGAAGCAGGTCGGAGGGAGGGGGGAAGCAGGGCGGAGGGTGGGGGGAAGCAGGGCGGAGGGAGGGGGGAAGCAGGGCGGAGGGTGGGGGGAAGCAGGGCGGAGGGAGGGGGGAAGCAGGGCGGAGGGAGGGGGGAAGCAGGGCGGAGGGAGGGGGGAAGCAGGGCGGAGGGTGGGGGGAAGCAGGGCGGAGGGTGGGGGGAAGCAGGGCGGAGGGAGGGGGGAAGCAGGGCGGAGGGTGGGGGGAAGCAGGGCGGAGGGAGGGGGGAAGCAGGGCGGAGGGTGGGGGGAAGCAGGGCGGAGGGAGGGGGGAAGCAGGGCGGAGGGAGGGGGGAAACAGGGCGGAGGGAGGGGGGAAGCAGGTCGGAGGGAGGGGGGAAGCAGGGCGGAGGGTGGGGGGAAGCGGGGCGGAGAGAGGGGGGAAGCAGGGCGGAGGGTGGGGATAAGCAGGGCGGAGGGAGGGGGGAAGCAGGGCGGAGGGAGGGGGGAAACAGGGCGGAGGGAGGGGGGAAGCAGGTCGGAGGGAGGGGGGAAGCAAGGCGGAGGGAGTGGGGAAGCAGGGCGGAGGGAGGGGGGAAGCAGGGCGGAGGGAGGGGGGAAGCAGGGCGGAGGGAGGGGGGAAAAAGGGCGGAGGGAAGGGGGAAGCAGGTCGGAGGGAGGGGGGAAGCAGGGCTGAGGGTGGGGGGAAGCAGGGCGGAGGGAGGGGGGAAGCAGGGCGGAGGGTGGGGGGAAGCAGGGCAGAGGGAGGGGGGAAGCAGGTAGGAGGGAGGGGGGAAGCAGGGCGGAGGGTGGGGGGAAGCAGGGCGGAGGGAGGGGGAAAGCAGGGCGGAGGGTGGGGGGAAGCAAGGCGGAGGGAGGGGGGAAGCAGGGCGGAGGGAGGAGGGAAGCAGGGCGGAGGGTGGGGGGAAGCAGGGCGGAGGGAGGGGGGAAGCAGGGCGGAGGGTGGGGGGAAACAGGTCGGAGGGAGGGGGGAAGCAGGGCGGAGGGAGGGGGGAAGCAGGGCGGAGGGAGTGGGGAAGCAGGGCGGAGGGAGGGGGGAAGCAGGGCGGAGGGAGGGGGGAAGCAGGGCGGAGGGAGGGGGGAAGCAGGGCGGAGGGATGGAGGAAGCAGAGAGGAGGGAGTGGGGAAGCAGGGAGGAGGGAGTGGAAATTGCTGGTGGTGTGTGGGGGGGAAAGGAGGCGGACAAGTGGGGGGAATGCTGGTGGTGTGTGGGGGGAAAGGGAGGCGGACAAGTGGGGGGAATGCTGGTGGTGTGTGGGGGGAAAGGGAGGCGGACAAGTGGGGGGAATGCTGGTGGTGTGTGGGGGGAAAGGGAGGCGGACAAGTGGGGGGAATGCTGGTGGTGTGTGGGGGGAAAGGGAGGCGGACAAGTGGGGGGAATACTGGTGGTGTGTGGGGGGAAAGGGAGGCGGACAAGTGGGGGGAATGCTGGTGGTGTGTGGGGGGAAAGGGAGGCGGACAAGTGGGGGGAATACTGGTGGTGTGTGGGGGGAAAGGGAGGCGGACAAGTGGGGGGAATGCTGGTGGTGTGTGGGGGGAAAGGGAGGCGGAGAAGTGGGGGGAATGCTGGTGGTGTGTGGGGGGAAAGGGAGGCGGACAAGTGGGGGGAATGGTGGTGGTGTGTGGGGGCCTTCGCTACCGACGGGGAGTGGCGACTTGGATAGACATGGGGATAACGGGAAGTGCGTTTGGATTGGGGAAACAGAGGCGACAACGGGAGGCGAGGGCGTTGAGAAGCAACGCAAGCGACGAGGGAAGAATGAGGGAGATTCGGGTAAGCGTTTCACACGCGGGAAAGAGCGCGAGACGCGGGCGAGCGGTGATGATGCGGGAAAGCAAGGGTGACCTCGGGTAAGCGCGGGAAACACGGGTACGCGCGGGAAATGCGGTTAAGCGCGGGTAAGTGGGGATGGCGCAAGTAAGTGGGGGAGACGCGGGAAAGCGCGGGTGACGCTGGAGAGCGCGGGAAACACGGGTAAGCGTGGGAAGCGCGGGTGAGCGTGGAAGACGAGGGTAAGCTCCGTGACGAGGGGAAACATTGCGCGACGAGGGGACGCGCGGGCGACGAGGGCATGCGCGAGTGCAGCAGCGCTCGTAACGTGGGGTTGCGCGAATCGCGAGGGAAGCGCGGACGATGAGGTGATGCACTCGCCACATACTAAGAGCATGTTCCTACGGGGCCCCTATCAGACCAACCTCTAGTCAGACTCACCCGATCACAAATTTCTCATTGTAAGGTGAATTCGTATTGGACAAATTTCTAGTCTTGCAGCGAGCGTGAAAAATACTAGCGTGGGTGATGTGGCACGTGGATCTTGAACAGCTTTTCTGTACTGCCCGAACATCGGGTAAAGGAGCTCTGTTTGAGAAGAAACGCCAGGAACCAAAATAACTGTACATTGGTCATCCCATCGAATCGTGAAAAAATCGCTGGTGACACTGTACAAGTTCGGCCCGCAGAAGAAAACTGTAGCCCCATTCTCGACAAATCATACCTGACCTGTGTTTGCACGTGTTCAGCTCAGGTTTTCGATGTGGTTTGCTGATGTAACACGATTGAAAGGTTCGGTGGGCTAATTCATTCCGCGCAATACAAGACTGAAATCCGCTTTTCATAACGAGAATCTCGAGTTTGACCAAATGTGATATGAGGAAGGCCTGACAGGCCCTACGTTATCAGGAATTTTTCCCTGAAATTCCTGATTTCATGGATTTTTTTGTACCTATCCTGATTTTTCAGTGTTCAGTTATTTAAGGGGCTGATTTTTCAGCCTTTAGGTGCTAGATGACTCTGATCTTCCAGGTTTTTTTCGAAAAGACACTGATCACTTTACGTTGTAACGAAACTAACCCTGAATGGGGTTCCTACACGTGCCGAGTGTAGGTGCCCAGAAGTACAGGGAATATCAGATTCCCGCGGTGTTTGGAAAAAAAATAATCTGGTACTCACCGCCAGCACCACCTGGCGGTGAGAACGAGACAAATTTTACCAGAGTTTTACATCTGGTGGGCTGTTGAATTTGGTGCGCGTGGAACAATCGTTGCCCAGTTTTGTCAGAGGTCCACTCGTGATCCCCGATTGATCATAGGGAAGGGTTACAGACACGTTGGTCTGGGGAGTTATGGGCGCACTTACCCGCTACACAAATAAGCCATTTTATCCCAATGGTCTAATGGTTGGGATTCTGACATGGTATCAGAGCGAAGGTCTCGGGTTCGAATCCCGGCGTGTGCACTTCGTGCGTCTGAGTGCGGGAGGGTGTCAGAGGTCCACTGGTGATCCCCGATTCATCCTATGGAAGGGTTACAGGTGTTACGAATAGTAATACTTGAACATTACTGTGCACTCCTCACCGCAGCAAAGAGAAGCACGCAGTATCGCGAATGAACGCGAAGCGTCAGACGGTTGGAACGCATCTGAACCATCGGAGCAGACAGCATCAGGCAGCTGCAGGCAGGATGGTTTCGGCAGGAACAGTTTCGTAACTGTTCGCGCCGCACAGTTGGGAATGTATTTGAATAAGGGAATGTACCCCTTAGAGTACATGGCTAGCTAGGTCGATTCATATTCCCCTGTACTCTTATTTAGATCGTTGTATTTGCATGTCTTAATTATCTCAAGCATTTTACATTCACTCTGCTATTGAGGTCAAGGGCCCACCAACACCACTTCTCTGCGTGCGAACCTTCCTGAGTAGATCCTAGGCCACGATCAACTTCTGATCGCAGCATGGTATGAGAGCGACTCAGGAATCCTTCTCACCGCCATCTCCGAATTCTGCGACATTCGGAAAGTGGCGTCCGGCACACGATCACGTGTAAGAATGGCTGGAGGATCTGAAGGTCAGACAAATCTGACGGCTGAAGCGCAGCCCAACCCGGCTGCGACAAACGAGGAAACGACGACGATTCCCTCCGCCGTCCTCGCACAACTGCTTCAGTGACTCACGAGCTTGGAGCAAGGGCTCCAGACATTGCGGAATGGCGATGCGGGAACTTCTTCCCAACCCACTCAACCGGCCCCAAACTGCCAAAACTCCGCCTCGCAAGGCTTCTCCCTAGATACGAACGGCTCAACCCCCAAGACTCCCTTTCCCAGCGATGAAGCAATTCTCTCCGCGCAATCAAGGTTTTTGAGCATATCAAAAATAAAGACAAGTGTGTGCTTTGACGGCAGATACTTTTACACATGGAGCTTCGAGCTGGAGCTGCTGCTGCAAAACGCGCAGATTTATCATTATTTCGACGGGAGCTACTCGGGACCTGCTGAGGACACCGACGACGCAAGGACTCGCTATTATAACGAGTCCCTGATGGCGTACGAGATTCTTCTGCGTAACATGTCGCCAGCGGAGCAGCAGAACATTCGTTCATACAAGACATCTACTGCCCCAGCCCTCGACGCTTCGCGCCACCTGAACGGCGTGTATCAGCCCAAGGACTCCGTCTCCTCGAGCCGACTACTCCAGCAACTGCTGGAAACTAAGATTACCTCAAGGGAGAAGGTCAACAGCTACATCAACCGCTGTCGGAGCCTTCGCGATCAAATCGTGAAGTTGGGAAGCTCGATTTCTGAGGAAATCTTCGTGAACATTGTGCTTCAAGGGCTTGGCCCAGAGTGGCGGCCCTGCAAGGCGCTCCTCCGACAGCAGGGGGTCATCTTGGAGGCCGCCATTTGCGCCGCCCTCCTCGTCGAACAACGGGATATGGATCAGCAGCGACCAGCGCCACGACGAGAACGCGAGCGGCTCGCCTTCTACGCCGACAACAACGAAGAGCGAAGACCGCGGCGCCTCTACTGCAAAATCTGCAGAAACTTTGGGCATTTGGCGGATCGATGTAAGTTCCGATCTCGCCCTTGCCAGACTAATCCGAGCAACTGGTCCGGACGACAAGACGCACGAGGCGACGTGCGTCCAGCCAAAGGGTATCAACCCCCACCCGCGCGCAATTTGAACTCAACCGTTCAGCATCAGCAGCAGCAGCCATCAACTGCCCCTACGTGTTAAAATGAGAACGAGAGAATGAATCAACTATGAAATGAGTGAGTACAAGTACTAACCCTAATTGGGTTGTACCCCCTATGGGATACCCCACTATAGCCTACACAAATGTATAAGCTAAATAGCATTCTGACACACCCCCATAGGCAAAGTGGGGGAGAACAAGGGGTCACAAGACCAGTCAAGTAAAGCAAAGCAAAGCAAGCTCAGGGTGGATCACAAAGTCACCACACAGTCCGAGCACAAGGTCAAGGCCACACGGCCAGTTCACATGCAAGAGTACACACGTATATATAAAGCTAGACAAGCAAGAGCAGGTATATATATATATGTAACAGTACAAGCAAGGTCAAGAGGAGAGCAAGTGAGGCAAGACAGGCACAAGACCCAGTTGAGTGCAGAAGCGCTGATGATCACAAGGCGGAAGTGCCTTGGTGAAGACATCAGCAGTGTTGGCCTCAGAGGCCACGTACGCAAGCCGCAACTGTCCACGCTGCTGTAGCTCACGAGCAAGGAAGTAGCGGAGAGCAATGTGCTTTGTTCTGTGCTCCAATCGCTGCTCTCAACACAAGGCCAGCATGGCCGTGTTGTCTACGTACAGGACTGGAGGAGAACGAGGCGGCTCTCCAAGGCCGATCAGCAGGTAGGTGAGCCAGCGAAGCTCCTGAGCAGCCATGGCCCCTGCGTAGATCTCAGCCTCACAAGTGGAGCCAAGAACAGAAGACGAGCGAGTAGCCCGCCACGAAACAGAGCCGGAACCAAGACTGAAGGTGTAACCCTGTGACGACCGCTGCGTAGCCTGGTCGTCAGCCCAAGAAGCGTCCGCGTGCCCAGTGAGGACCAGTGGACTCCGCCCTCCAAGCACTAGCCCCATGCCCGACGTACTGCACAGGTAGCGCAACACCCTCTTCGCTGCAGCCATGTGCTCTGGTCGGTGTCTCCCAGGAGCAACATAGCGTGCGAGAATGCTAAGAGGGTATGCAAGGTCAGGTCGTGTGCAGGTCATCACGTACATGAGGCAGCCAACAAGCTCTGGGTACGGGCCACTCGACTCTACGGACTCATCCGAAGGCAGAGCTGAGAGCGAGTGGCGAGTAGGAAGAGGAGTGGCCTGAAGCGAGGAGTACGTGAAGCCGAAGCGCTAAAGGACCTGCTGCACCATGTGTGACTGAGTCAGGGTAATGGTGCGGCGTGCTCTGTCCCGAGTGATCTGCAAGCCAAGGTAGCTGCGGACTTCACCCAGGTCTGTGCACGTGTGTCTCTTCTGCAGCTCGGACTTCACGTAGGCGAGTCAAGCAGTGTCAGCTGTGGCAAAGACCAAGTCGTCGACGTACACGAGGATGTAGAGCGGCGGCAAAGAGGTGTCGGTGCGCACAAACAGCGACGGGTCGGCAGTAGAAGGAGCAAACCCAAGAGCCGCAAGCGTAGTCCTCAGTGTGTCGTGCCACTCACGTGGCGCCTGGCGGAGACCGTAGACTGGACGCCGGAGACTCCACTGGGTACCAGGAGGGAAAGACCCAGTGAAGCCAGGTGGGCGACGCAGCCAGATCTCCTCGTGCAGGCTGCCTTGCAAGAAAGCTGTGCTGAAGTCAAGAGAGTGCAGCTCGTAGTCACGGTGAGCAGCAACGTGCAGCAGTACCCGAAGAGTGGTCATCTTCGGGGTGGGGGAGAAGGTCTGAAAGTAGTCAACTCCCTGCCGCTGACTGAACCCACGAGCCACGTAACGCGCCTTGAAGACAGGCGGAGAACCCGGCGGCCGCTTCACCCTGAAGATCCACATGCCACTGACGATGTTCGCCCCAGGAGGGGGGACAGCGTCAACGTAGGTGCCTGTGGACTTCTAGGAAGCCATCTCTGCGTCCATAGCTGCCTGCCACTGAGAGGAGTAGGGACCCTCTATCGCCTCCGCGTAAGAGCGCGGAGTCGGGATGTCAAGTGCATCCGGGTCTCCCTCAGGGGTAAGCAGTACGGACACGAGATGAGGTGAAGCAACTGCCAGACACTGGAACTCCTCCTGCCTGTGTTCAAGGACGTCCGTGCCAAGAGCACACTCACCCCCGACGGACGGAGGACAGACAGACTCAGACTCAGCGACAAGACTAGCAGCGTAGTCTAGGCGACCGTGAGCAGCAAAGTCGACGAGCTCAGCAACTAGGGCAGACGCA